ATCTCAAGCAGACTCTGGCCTGAGCGTGGAGCCTGACCCGGAACTCGATCTCAGGTCCCTGAGATGATGACCTGAGCCGAAATCAAGAGTTGGATGCTTGACCGACTGAGCCACCCAGACGCCCCCCAAAAGGGATTTTTAATTTTGGTTTTAATTGTTTCCTTGTCCTGAAAAATGATGGCCTGTAATATGAAACCCTTCTCAGTTTGGTAACTTTCCACTGGTTAAGTGATTGAAGTCATCAAAGTTTTAGAAAGTGAAGGAATGAGTGAGTAAATGGCTAGCTAGCTAGATTCACTGAAATCATTTCCGTTGCTTGCTCTATTGTTTATGATGAGCCTTAGCTAAGATTTTGTCTCTTTTTGGCTGTTTCTTTTTTCCCCCTCATAGTTTCCAGGCACTGTCACAAACTTTGATTCTTTGATAGCTAAACTCTTAATTCCTTTTTTTAAATGTTCATTTTCATTAAAGTGCTATTTAACATTAGATATTAACTTCGACAGATGTTAATGCTGCTTCTCAATTAGGTAAAATATATTCTTGGTGAGGTGCCAATTTGAATTGAATATATTTGAATTTGATATGTGAATTAAACTGTTGTTTAAACCTTACCCATCCATCACGTGGGTGATGGAGCAGCTGGCTGGTTTTGTATATAAGTGGGTTTTTTCCCCCCCTAGCAATATTCACTTATTTATTTATACTATTTTTTAGAGGGTGGAGGGGCAGAGGGAGAAGGAGGGAGAGAATCCCAAGCAGACTCCCCACTGAGTATAAAGCCTGACACGGGGCTCGATCCCACTGCCCTGAGATCATGACCTGAGCGGAAATGGAGAGTTGGACACTCAACTTATTGAGCCACCCAGGTGCCCCCACTTCAGCAATATTTAAACATTAGAAAATGGCTTCCTATTGTAGCAAAGAGAACTTCATATGAATTTATTACAAGATCTCCTTGCTTGTCAGTTTCTTAGGCTGCATAGAATGTAAAGTGCCAGACACTACGTTGGTATAAAATGTTTTCCATGGACAATATTAATATTTTAAAATCTTTTTTGCTCCTGCAGATTTCCAGTAGACAGGAAGTCTAGCTCTATTTACCCTTTGGCTACTAATGAATGCTATTAAATTATTATTTATCTTCTTTAGGCAGAGGCACTAGAGGAATGAGATCAGAATTGCCAAGTGAGGCAAGCATTTAATTTAAAAATAATAAAAAAAAAATAATACAAATCCATCCAAAAGTGGCAACTAAAGTGTGACTCCTAGAAAGTATTTTGGACTTGAGTCAGAGAATCGGGGTTGTGTCTCCACCTGCGTCACTAACTTGCTGGGTCATCTCAAGCAAGTCACTGCCCAACTCCGGATGGCATAGCCCCTCTAAAGTTTCACCTTCCACACTGCGTATTCTATATGCTAAAGAAAGCAGGGCTAAGGGAGGCTGAATCCTCTTGTTGATCAGCTATCCACACCAGCCTAGCAGCTCTGAGGTCAGTCTCCAGCTGCATTTTTTGTCTTTTTTATAATCTCTTAAATCCTTGCTAGGCTTTCATTGCTAGTTCTTTTCCCTAGGAATTTGCATTCAGAAATACTGAGGGCTTTCTACCTTTGGGAATTTTTCTGTGCTCATGAATTTAATGAAAAGTTACTTAGAGTTACAAAAAAAAAAAAAAAGCCAGAATTAAGTGTCTTGTTTGAATGACTGTTTCTGTAAAATCAGACTGTTTCCATCATGACTAATGTACCTTCACTATTTCAGTTTTGAACTTAATACATTTGAGTCCTGGTACGGTGAGGCATGATTGTCAGTTTCTCTTATTAGCCGTGCTTGTATTCTCCCACTTACTCATTGTTCTAACCTATTTTTTTTTTTTTTTAAACCCAGAATGATTGAGCAATAAGGCTCCATATCATGGGAGTTATATTTTGGGTACTTGAGGATCTCATTGATTTGAAATAGTTTGAATTGCACTAAGCTAAAATTTACCTTTCGTTGGCTTGCTAGGAAAAAAAGTAAACAAAATAACTTGCCTCAGAGTGTTGAGAAATTAACTGTATGGCAACTTCAGGATGTGTGTTGTTTGACTGTAAAAGCTAGAGAGAGATTTTTACAGATCTCTTCATTAAAGGAGGTCTAGCACTATAATTAAAAAGGCAGACAATAACAAGGGTTGGTAAGTATATGGGGAAATTGGAACCCTCACACATTGCCGGTGGCAATTAAAGGTACGGCCACTGTGGAAACAGTTTGTCAGTTCCTGAAACAGTTAAACATAGAATTACCATATGACCCAGCAATTCCACTCTTATGTATCTATACCCAAAAGAAACGAAAACCTATGTCCACCCAGAAACTCATACATGCATGTTTATAGCAGCATTATTTATAGTAGCCCCAAAGTGGAAACAACCCAAATGTTTCTCAGTAGATCAACGGATCACAAAATCTGATAAAGACACACAATTGAAATATGATTAGGCAGTTGAAAAGATGAGGCATTGGTACATGCTTACAGCATGGATGAAACCTCCAAAACATTATGATAAAAAGCCAGACACAGAAGGCCCCACTTATATGAAATATCTAGAATAGGCAAGACCATAGACAGAAAGTGGATTCACGCTTGCCAGGAGCTGGGGGAAGGGAAGAGTGGAGACTAGCTGCTAATGGGTACAGGGCTTCTTTTTGGCGTGACAAAATGTATTCAAATTGGATAGTGGCAATGATTGTATAACTCCGTGAATATACTAAAAGCTGTTCAATTGGATACATTAATGGATGAATTTTATTGGTTTGTGAATTCTGTCTCCATAAGCTGTTATATAGCAAAAACGTTCGCGACTATACTATTCTAATTACTTGAAATTGGAAAAGTGTATGTAAGTTACATTTTTTGGCCGGGGGCTGGAAGGAAGGAAAAGTGAGTAGTTAGTATTGAATGGATGCTGTGTTTCATTTGGGCAAGATGGTAAAAGTTCTGGAGATGGATGCTGGTGGTGGTTGTGCAACGTGAACATACTTAATCACACAGAACTGTACACTTAAAAATAGTTAAAACAGTAAATTTTATGTTGTGTATATTTTACCATAATAAAAAAATCTATAATCCTAAGAAAATCGTATTTTACATTATTCCAATGTATAAGGCTTTTCCCCCCTCTCTCTCTTTTTCTTTTTAGCAAGAAGATGGGAAGTGTGATCGACCTTTTGGTTTTTATGCATGAGATTCCTCTATGTTTTAGAACTTCTGTTCAGTATGTGTGTTTGTTAGGAGAGAGGGTGTTGGTTATACACACACATATATGTCTTTATCTTGGCTTTGAAGGAAAACTTGAAAATGCTTTATGAAACTTTATTTGCCAGGAGGAAAATAAAAGAGGCCAAACTGTAGGAAAATTTATGTTGTTAAATTATAAAACAGTGAAATGCTGTTCTCAGAGTATAAATTATCACAGATGTCCTGATTTCCTTGGTTAATCTTGGCTCCTTGAATGGGAAAAAAAATCTATACTTTATATAGAACATATCTTTCTATAAGCATTTTCCTTTGTGTAGTAGGATTGAGCGAGCACCCAAATGCATTGAAAACACTCACAAACATAGTGGTTTTGTTTGTACAATACATTAAGTGAGTTTCAGAATGCAAAGTAAGAGATGGAAAAATGAAAAAAAAAAAAACAAACAAACAAAACTCCAGCAATGAGGAAGTCACTGAAAAAGGAATTAAATGATTTCTAAGGGCCATGGAACTTTGTTATAACCAAGCAGTTTGTAGGCTCTAATTCTGTACCTTCTAAGGATTAATCTATGAAAATAGTTTCTAAGCCTGGCTGCAAATGCCAGCAATGCCATTAGTATATAGTGTAATCAGAGGTATGTTTGTTTTTCTTGACTAGGAAGTGGTTTCTTTGAAAAGTACAAGAAACACACAGTGCCTCTGTATGTGAGTGTGTGTGTGTGTGTCTGCGTATTTTCTTTCTGTTCTTCTATTGCAGGAAGAATTATGGTCTTCCAACATCTTTGTCCTTTATAGTAAGGGTTTTTCTAGAATTCGGCACTGTAGTATATTACCCTTGATTACAGGGTCCAATCAGAGTTGATGTACTCAGAAATCCATTGATGTGATTAATGGTCTCCTAATCATACTTTTATTTCCTAGATTAGCCCAATTTCCTGTACTTTCACAATTTTTGAGTCATATCTTGAATTATCCTTTATAGGGGGCCTGAAATCCTTGTATTTTTAGTCTGTAATTTGCATGATTATTTTAATTTTCTTTGATTTCCTTTGCTTGAAGAAAATGAAATTTTGATCTTTTTTGAACTCTGAGTGCTATTCTGTGGTAAATGGCCAACCTAATATGAACTTTTTTTTTAACTATATACATTTTTTTTTTTCCATCAGCCCTAGATCTAGAAATCTTCCCACAAATTTCCACTAGTCTGGCTTTTATTCTTCTCAAAAGTAAAGTAAAAGTAGTCTCAGATTCTGTAAGTAACAGGGAAGTAGACCAGGAAATGACTGTACAGGAAATATAATTGATCATTTGCTCTTTACAGTTGGTCACAGGATTGGCTAATAAATAGTCTATTGAATGAAAAAAATGACTCCTAAAATCTTTGGGGCCTTTGAATACATTTGAAGGTTATTGGTGCCTTTGGCACCTTACTTTTTTAAAATTTCTTAGCTTTTCCTTTTTTTAAAAGATTTTTTATTTATTCATTTGAGACACAGAGATACAGAGAGAGAGAGAGAGAGAGAGAGAGAGCATGAGCAGGGGGGGAGACAGAGGGAGAGGGAGAAGCAGGCTCCCTGCTGAGCCAGGAGCCTGACGTGAGGCTCGATCCCAGGACCCTGGAATCATGACCTGAGCCGAAGGCAGACGCTTAACCATCTGAGCCACCCAGGCACCCCAATCTCTTACCTTTTTCAAATGACTTTGAAATTAGGACTTTTTCATATCTAGTGGTTGCTTTAATATTTGCTTTGTTTTCAACAGTGCCCTTAAAGATAGCCGTTTTCCCCCAATGACAAGGGACGAGTTGCCACGGCTGTTCTGCTCAGTGTCTCTGCTCACTAACTTTGAAGATGTCTGTGATTATTTGGACTGGGAGGTAAGACTATAGAAATGTTGGAAAGAAAAATGAAGGTAACTCCTGACTCTTTCAGCCCGTTCTCTATTGTAGTGGAGGTGGAGAGTAAGGTGGATAAATAAACCTCACAGTTGATCAATGAGATATCAATGAAGGAGTTGTTTTTGTTTTGTTTTGTTTTGTTTTGTTTTAAGGCAAAGCGCCATGTGTCGTTTTAATCCCCATACTGAATTGGCTGTTTATTTTTGTCTGATTACTTTACCACAGCACCTCATAAAAGCTGTTAATAAGTAGTAAGAAGGACTGATTGGAATTTATTTTTCCTCTTATTTCCATTCTGATGTACTTTGGTGTAACCACCACCCAGCAGTTAGGTGGTCAGAGGAAACTTCTTGGAAGCAAGGAGCCAAAGAGTGAGGATAATACACCAGTTGGGGAAATCAGCATGTGGATACAAAACAGGGTGTCGGTTAACTACAGTTAAATCATGTTAATTCATTCTTGGCTACCTTACTTTATGCACTTAAACACTCTAACAAATAATATTAAGGTTATATCTCAGTGATCTCTGAGCATTGTCATGTTCCAGGTAGCCTAGATTGATCTTATTTTTTATTCTTTAGTGTGTGGGGTTGGGTTTCTAAGGAAGTTCAGAGGTTCTCACCATGATTTGTTTTGCTCGTTGCGAGAAGACAGTTGAGTGTATGTCTATGAAATTTCACACACAATCGTGCACACATTATTGAATGCCTCCTGTGTTCAAGGCACTGTTGCTACATATACAAGAGTCCTAAGATTTGGTCCCCACCATGAAGCACCTCTCAGTCTAATGGCAGAGAAAAGAAGTATACACCAAGCATAAAGAAATAAGTACCACAAGAATGAAACAATGGGAATTCAGTGATGCACTTAGCATTCTCTCACATAAACACTCATAAATGACATGACTAGATCTTTATGGTATTATATGTTTTAATTCTACTGACTTTTTAGAATGACCACATCCCATGGTAACTGAGGTATTCTGCCTTGTGGACAGATCACTGTCTTGATAATTAATTGGACTTGACTTTTAGTTTGGGATTTGCTCTGATTCCTTGTGAGACTTTGGACAACTTATTCCACTGCCATTCAGTTTTCCACATACAGAATAAGACATTTCTAAAGTTCTTAACCTTCATTGGAAAAAAAATCCCTATGATATAAATTACTGTTGTTAGGCCGGAGCTATATATATATATATAGATATATATATAAACATTCCGTAGAGAGTAGGATAAAAGAGTTCTTTCTGAGTTTTGGAGTGCGTCGGGTTTTTTGGAGTATTATCAGAATATGAAAGCATTCGGGGATGTTTTGTAATGGGAAAAATAAAATTAATCAATAGTGTTGAACCTAGCAAAGTTGGATTGGGTAAAACCTTTCACAGAATTACAATTTCCTGATTGCTTTCCATAAGTTCATTGTTCCTATTTGAATTTTTCTTAAAGAGAAGTCTACCCATATCATAGGAACATTCCTCAGTATTTTTAAATGATCCCAAATTATATCCCTTCCTTATTAACCAATATTAAAATGTGGGTGATTCTTTTAATGTTTTAAGGCTACCGCTTCCTCTTCTTTAGCTAGAATTTTATTTCTGCTTTCTGAATTGCAGAGTGCCCTGCGTGTGTGGGGGGCGGGATAGGGGGAGCGATAACAGGGGTAAAGCCTGAAATCTAAGGATGACTGAGCTACAAAACACACTTACTCTTGCTTGCCATCACTGAGGTGGAAGCACAGTTGTCGGGGGGGGGTTTGCACATGCACACGTGTGAGCATGTGTGGCACGTACATGAATGTATGTTTCATAAATATGCATGCATGTATTTGGAGGGGAGGAAAAATGGGAGGATCCAATAGTAGTTCAATAAATATGGGGAAGCACAGAGTACACCACCATCATCTCCTTTAGCCCACTTCAAGCACTGTCTACAGCTAAAATTAACCCTCATACCTTACATATTGTATATTTAATACGTTCCTCGAGGCTTAGATATTGGTGTCTATTGGTGTAACTTTAACCAGAAAGTGATGCTTTCTGCAAAAATAAATATATGTTTGTGCTTTTAACATATAAGTATTTGAAAGTGAATTTTAGGTCCTGCTAGAATGGCTATGCTAAGAGGGAAAGACTGTCCTTTTCAGTTAGTTCGTCATAGTTGGAAGTATTTAGCATAAGGAAATTTGTCCCCAAAGAGTAAGACTGAAAATTGGATTTTTTTTTTAAGCACAAGAATGTGATTTGGGCTTAAAAAAAATATACCATAGTCAGTGATTACAAATGGAATGGTATTATTGTGGGGATGATGTCATAGGGTCATCCTTAATAATTCTGAAAAAGCATTGGTTACTTGAAACACAGAATGCCAAAGTAGAATTAAAAACATTATTTTTTAAAGTATATGTCAAGGCATTTCCACTCCTAGGTATATACCCCAAAGAAATGAAAACAGATGCTGAAACAAAAAGCTGTACACAAATGTTTATAGCAGCACTATTCATAATAGCCCAAAGGTAGAAACAACCCAAATGCCTATCAACAGATAAATGGATAAACCAAATTTGGGATATCCATACAATGGAATATTAATCAGCCATAGAAAGAAATGAAGTAGTGACATGGATGAACCTTGAAAACATTATGCTAAGTGGAAGAAGCCAAGCACAAAAGGCCACATACTGTATGATTCTGTTTATACGAAATATGCAGAATGAGCACATCCACAGAGATAGTGTGTTAGTGGGAGCCAGGGGTTGGGGCAGGGGCTGACTGAGAAGTGATGGCTTTTAATGGGTCCAGGGTTTCCATTTAGGGTGAGGAAAAAATTATGGAACTGGATGTTGTATGACACTGTGAATGTACTTGATGCCACTGAATTGTACACTTTCAAAGGGTTAAAATGGTAAATTTTACATGATGTGTATTTTACCACAATAAAAAGGCATATATGCATCTGCATATATATTTAAACCTGTTGTCCATAATAGTATAGTAATTCTAATTTATTGAAGAAGAAAACTTTGAAAATTCAAAAAATATAAAGAAAGGCAAGCCGTTTGTAATTACACCGTTCTGAGATAACCACTGTTAACATTTTGGAATATTCCTTTAAATTATTTTTCTGTGTCTTTGTATCAATAAATATGCCTATTTGTTCATGTAACGGAGATCATATTGCATATACAGTCATTATTAAAAAGGATTGTGGTGGGGGTGGGGGGATGGGTTAGCCTGGTGATGGGTGTTAAAGAGGGCACCTACTGCATGGAGCACTGGGTGTTATACGCAAACAATGAATCATGGAACACTACATCAAAAACTAATGATGTAATGTATGGT